CCAGCTTGCTGCGCCCCTTCCGGGGGCATCTTGCCACTGAACCAGAGCCGCCGGGGCACTGCTGCTCTTCTGCTTGGACCGTGGGCCTCCCCTATTTGCTGACAAGGAACCGGCCCCTCCCCAGCACAGCCCCTTCTTTCTGTGCCGGAACCCCAAGAGAAGCCCTCCAGGCCCCAAGCTGAGCTCTCCGAGTGAGTCAGGCTACCCGGTCAACGGGGAGGACGGGGACTGCAACTCAGGACGTCTGAAAGCCATTTGGCTGGGGAAGGCCGCCCTGCTGCTTGGTCTGCCCTGAGATCCATCCCCAAAGCCTTCCAGCTCTTCTTCTGCACCATAAGCGCAAAGAAAGGTCACTCTGGCAAGGGACCTGCAGGCCTCCCTTCCAGCGCTCAGTGAAACTGCCAGGAGCCTTGTGGAGATCAAGCCATTCACTGCAGAAGCTTTTCTAGGCAAGAGTTTATTGGATGCAGAATCAACCAAAGTGCAGGACGGCCACAGCAGAAACACATAACAACTTCCAGAGCTTTGGGTCAAGCCAAAGCCCCATCAGGTTCAGCCTTCTGGACTCAAACTGGCCAGTTGGAGGGCTCTGGGGAGGCCACAATAATCCCCCCCCCCATGGACAAACGGGACAGCTGGGATGCACATCAAGGAGGAGTCATCTGCGTCTGACAGGAGTGGGAGGTCGGTGCCTGCAAACTTCCTTGGGGAAGCCATTCCAGAGCTGGCGTCTCTCTGCTGAGAAATCACCCAGCAGGGTCTGAAGCTAAGACTTTCTGCCTGTGGGGCTCCAGCCCCAACCGCCTCTCCTGGCCTGTTGGAGAGCAAGGGATTGTGGGAGTTGGCGCAACACATCTGGGCTCTTGCCTTGGCTGTTCAGACCTGGCCAGATGCTTTCCCTGTGCTACTGCCTGCCAGCAGCTGTCCTCCCTGCTGTTGGCAAAGGCAGCCCCCACCCGCAGTCCCAGGGAGGGTTTCGGCATCTCTGAAGGTCCTTCAGGCCCATCCAGAACTATAGACGGGATGCTTGGAAATGTCTCCCTTGGGAGGGCAAGGCCGTGCCAGACACAGCGGGCTCTAGAGAACGGGCCAAACCCCACTGCCTCCGGGCTTCAACCACCCCTGCTTCAGTCCCCATGGTCAGCCCCAACATCCACTCACTTCTGGCAGTACCTTTAACACAGGGTGCACCAAATTAAAAATGGAGGCCAACCAGAAAAGTCACGTCAATAGATTTTCTAGGAAATAAATTGCAGTCAATTTAGAGACTGACCTGCCTGGAAAAAATGAGTCTTATTAGAATGACTCCCTCCATTTCCTTATCAGAACATCTCCTTATCTAATTGTGGGCATGCCACAGACACAAGACATCTTGATGTCAGCAAAGGATTTGACACATTTTTCCTTAAAAGTGTGATTAGAGTCCATTGGAGTTGGGCAGCCAATACATTTAAATCAATAAATAAATGCAACTACATGACATGGCAGATACAATGATAAGTAGTTGGCTCAAAAACGACCAGTGGTTTTCATCAAACTGCTGAAAGCTTTTGTGTGGGATCCCACGCAGTCCAGTGCTTGGCCCTCTGCTCTTCAACATTTTCATGAAGGACTCGGACAAAGAGGGAAAAAGAAAAAGCCGGTCAAGAATGCGCAGATGGCACAAAATTGGGAGGGATACCAATACCTTAGAAGGCAGAAATATTCAAAATTGGGAAAGTGGGCTGAAATATCAGAATGAAATTGCACCGAAACGAGTGCAAAGCGCTTCGCTTAGGAAAGAAAAGCCGAACCCACTGGTATGGCATGGCGATGCCTGCCTCAGTCACCATGCTTGGGAAAAACACCTTGGAATGGAACACCCAACTCATACTGAGTCAGCAGCGAGATGTAACTGCAAAAAAGGGATATGCAGCTTCAGGCTGAATCACAGAAATATAATTTTTTCATCCCAGGAAGCCACAGGCTGATTCTGCTTTGGTCAAATCCCACTTCAAGTTCCGCACCCAGTTTGGGTAGAACCCTTTAAGGAAGATTCAAAGACACTGGAAGAGGTTCCGGGGAGGGTGCTGAGGAGGATCCAAGGGGAGAAACAGCCCAGGGAAGGGAGGGCCTCCCTGGTGCCCTGCCGTCACCACATTTACACATCCTTCACACAAGAATATGCTTGGTGGATGGTTCAGATTCCCTCTGCCCACATTTCCAAGCCATGCCTCGTTAACCACCTCTCTCCTTCTCACGTTATCAGCACTTTAAGGTACGGGAAACAGATACCCCAAGAAATACTACAACCCTTCATTATGATCCGGCTATAGTAATAATAGAGTCTTGAAAGCCTGGCAGCGTTTCCTCTTCCCTCTTCCCCTAGAGTCACGGTGGGGCTTTAAGTTTCTTTCTCCCGCCTCCCAGACTGAGCTCAAGCTTTGTGAACAGTCGCTGCCGCTCTTCTCCAAAGTCACATCTGTGCTTCTCCACACATCTCCCCCTCCTTCTCTCCAAGCCGAAAAGCCCAGCACTGTAAGCCTGTCCTCGTAGGGGAACCTACGCTCTAGCCCCTCCCAAAAGAGCAGGACAATCCTCTGTCTGCAGGCTGACTTTCGGATCCAAGCGCAATTGTCTTGGTTTATAGGAAGGCCTGGCATGATATGGTTCATGGGGTCACGAAGAGTCGGACACGACTTAACAACTAAACAACAACAATCCATCTGGGACAAGGAAGAGAAGGGAGACATCCAAAGGTGCGGCCCAGCTGCCACGGAGCAGCGGCCTTTGGAGACGAGGCCAAAGCAAGGCAAGTGGGGGAACTCTCAGAGAATTCTGAGCCGGGCGGTGATCCCATCCGACTCACCTGCAGCCACCTGTGGCTGGGAGGGGAAACTGCTGGGAATCATCTGTAGTGGAGGAAATCAATCTAACAAGCAAAATGGAGGCCGCCCCCTCTTCCCCCCCACATCAAACCCAGTTGCTTAATCCCATGAGACCCAAATTGACTCTCCCTGCCCCAGACAAAACCCCCCCCCCCCCGCAATCCCATCTAACCAGAGAAGCCTCCCCAGCTGTTCACCGCACAGCCCTCAGAAGAAGCCTGCAACGCAGGAACGAGGTGAGAGACCCCAACATTCCACCCTCTGTCAGCTGTGGACCTCAGCATTCCATCTTTTTATCATCATCATCATCATGGTTGGTTGGTTGCACAGTCAGCCAGATGTTTACGCTGGATTTGGCATTTTTATCCACCTATTGAGTCCTTCCAAGGACCTGGGAGAGGCAGATGTTGTGGTGTGATGGTGTTAAAGGTAGTCACAGGATTTAAGCTGTTCCAAGTAAAGTTACCTCTTGCAATGGACTGATGGTGATTTTGTCAGTGCCCAGGGTCTTCAGGTGGTGCTCCAGATGTTTTGGGACTGCACCCAAAGCGCCTATTACGCTTGGTACCACCTTTGCTTTCTTTTGCCACAGTCGTTCTCCCTCTATTTGCAGGTCTTTGTATCTTGTGATTTTTATTATTATAAAATAATAATATAACATTATTATTATTCTTTTACCCCACCTTTTTTATGTATAACTCAGGGTGGCAAACATACCTAATACTCCTGCCTCCTACTTTCCCCAGAACAACAACCCTGTGCCGTGGCTTGGGCTGAAAAAGGCTGGCTTTAACAAAGGACCTCCCGGCTCTGCTGCCTGTTTGCCGAACCAGACCTGACCCCAGAACGGGGACCAGGACTTGCCCGCCTTCCCCACACCGGCCAGCCATCCGACCGCGAGGATCTCCCGCCTTGCAGCCCATTGTTCGGGCTCCCTCGTCTGCTAACGCAGGCGCCCGCGATCCTGAGACGAAGAGCCGCCCTTCTCCTGGCGCCGCGCCCCTCACTGCCCGCCTTCCAGGGCCGGCCAGCGGCCTTGCCCGTCCTGCGAACACCTGCGCCTGCCGTGGGGAGGGGTGCCCTTGGGAAGGCTGGTGAGTCCAGGGCCAGGGAGGGAGGGGCGCGGAGGGAGTGGCCCAGCGCCTCGGCTGCCTTCGTGTGCAGGCTCCGAGACCAGCCCTTACGGAAAAGCGGGCCGGGTCCCGATGCACGCGTCCGGCGCCTGAGAAACCCGCTAGGACGGCGTTTTCCCACCTTGGCAGCTTTGCTGGCTGGGGCATTCTGGGAGTCGAAGCTGCCAA